TATATATATATATATATATATATATATATATATATATATATATAAGATTCTTCTTTTTTTTCTTCTTTAATTTTTACCTTATCTTTTCTCAAAAAATTAAGGTGAAACTTGTTTAACATAAAAAATGCTAGTATTTTTAAGAGTTAATATTAGACCCTTAACCTAGAAACAAATTATTAATTATTTAATAAAGTATTAATAAAATTTGTTAATTAAATTAATTATTAATTCATAATAAAATATTAATATTATGAATAAACTAATAAAAATTATAATATTTATTAATGTTAATAATTAATTAACTAATTAAAATATCAATAATAAATATGGAATTAATAACTAATAATTACATATTAAATAAAAATGTTATTAATCAACTAATAATCATTTAATAATTTTAAAAAAAATATTAAATAATTATTTAATCATTACTAATAATAAACTATAAAATCAGAAAATTATTAGTAATTACATAATCAATTAATAATTGTTATTACAGTTGATTTTTCCATTATTTTACCTTTGCAACCAAACAATAGAATGTGAAAATTTTTCACCCATTTTTCCTTTTACACCCCATCCCATTTTATCCTTTTCCATCCAACCAAAAGCTTCTCTCAAATCAAACACAACCTAAGGAATGATACCAAGAAAAAAACCTTCTAACCAATGAAATCACAATAGTGGTAATCAATCAGGTGGTATTTATCAAAATTCAAGGAGTGGTTTTGATTGGTCAAAGTACTTCGGTGTCATGCCTTTCTGGCAGCTAGGGATGCCATAAAATATGATGCCATATTCGATTATTTCGAATATGATCCGATATTGTTAAGGGCAGATCCAATCGGATCTCATAAAATATGGATTTGAATTCGAATATGATGAGACAACCAAATCTTTGGATTTGATCCGATCCGATATGATTCTTTTAAAATAAATAAATTATTAAAAGAAAAATAAAATATAACAATTTAAATGAAGAAACAAAAAAAATACAAGTATCTTTTCAACTATGTTGATCATATATATATATACATTTTTTATAAAAAATAATATAATAAATTTACAAAATACAATATAATATAATATTTATAAATAAATAAATAAATAAATAACATATATATGTATTATATATTGATATAAATAGATAAATAAATAATATATTTACAAAAAATAATTCGATCTGATTCCTGATCGGATCCTATTATCCGATCTGAAGATAATCCAAAATGGGGCTGTTCGAATCCAAGAATGTAGGATTAGACTTCTTATCATGATCCGATCCATTTAGGGGTGTAAATGGATCGAATTCRAATCGGATCAAGCAATATCCGAATTCGATTCGATATTTAATGGATATTGAAAATTAATATTTGAATTCGAATTTGACTAATTAATTATTTTAGGTAATTAATAAATATATAAAATAAATATTTTGTTTATATAAAGTATATAAATATATAAATTATCTATATAATTTAATTATTATATATAAATTATATAGAACATTTAAAAATTTTATATATTATATATAAGAATTAAATAATCGATCGAATTCGGATATTTATTGAATCAAATCAGGTCATATCCGAATTTGAATGCGATTAACTATTCAGTATGAATAGGATATCCAAATTTAACCTGTTAGATATTCGAGTTATCAGAATTCGATTCTATTATGTCGAATCTCGAATTCAAAATTGGATTTTCAAATACCGTTGACACTTCTATATCCATTTTTTTAAATTCATATTCGCCCATTTAATGCAATTAATTAATGAGAACCAAACTGAAATTATATCATCATCGGTTCATTTCTACATGGATTTCAGAAGTTTCTTGACTGTACAGCCTACACCATGAACTAAAGGAACCCCTTTTCTCTGCAACATTCAATTGCTTCATCAAACATTTCTTCAAGGCCATACTTAAACTTGAACCCCAGATCCAAGAGTTTCTTTGATGAAAGGCTAAGAAGCCTGACATTTTCAATCTCTCTTGATAAACTGTAAACAATATGGCACTTCTGGTTAGTACACAGATGAGCAGGAAATGGGGCAACAGAGAAGTAATGGAAAAAGTGGTTACTCTAAGCTTGGCATTTGAAACTCTGGATATTTGATGGCAAAGTACTGAGCTATCTCATAAGCTGTTGCTTGAATAGAAGAACAAATGAATCTTCCCTCAACTTTAGGACACTCTAGGAGGAATATATGTGCAGCAGCCACATCCTCTATATGCACCATACATGTCTGAGTCTGACTAAGACCTTTATATTGATCCCCATCGCCTGGATGAAAGCTCTGATTATATATTAGTTGAAAGGGAGAGAGAGAGAGAGAGAGAGAGTACCAAAGATCAAAGATAAGCCCATGCGCACCGAGATGGGAAAATTTGGGCAGATGAATGGACCGACAACTAGTGAAGGGCACAACGTTACGAGATCCAAACCATGCTCTTCTGCAAATTCAAGAGCTGCCCTTTCTGTTACTGTCTTTGAGACAGCATAAGAACTGTTAATACTGAAAGCTCTGCAGCATTCAATGTCACTCCATGCATTTTCATCCATTACGTCAAGACCCTTGTTGTTTAACGCAACAGCTGCTGCAGAGGATGTGTAGATAACTCGCTTCACCGTCTTAGAGTTCAAGCATGCCTTCAATATGCCGAGAGTTCCTTCCATTGATCTTTTGACCACTGCTTCCTCTGCTTCTTCACCCTCGTAGTCCATGGGGTGAGCTAAATGAAAGACTCCAATGCACCCCTCAATGGCAGCATCAAAGCTGCTTGGTTTGTCGAGATCTGCGTTAAAGATTTCTAGCTTTTCTGATGCACTTGGGAGGGTTCTAAGAAAGCCGATTTTCTTCTTGACATCTGATCGATTTTCCAAGTAAGACAAGAAGAAAAACATAGAAGTTGTTATTATTTAACCTGATCAGAACATTATGATTTGGGGGCCGCTTTGGGGCTCAAATGTACCTCTAGACATCATCAACTCATGGCTAAATAAACCCTTTTTGGGACAAATTCTAAAAATTAGAAAATGAAAGAAGAAGAAGAAGAAGAAGAAGATTAAAAAAGTTGGGGAGTTCTGCAACTGCAAGTGCAAGAGAACAGTGAATGAACCGATGAGTTGACTTGGGTTATTCCCGGGTCAAAAAGACTGATTCGCAGAATCAAAAGGCAAAAGCCAGCTGATTCAAAGGGAGCTACAGTAATTGGTCTCTCAACCCAGGGGAGCATCATCCTGGCAATGGCCCACCAAATCAGTGGAAGGTTCGTCTACAGACAACAGGGCCACATATTGAGCTCTGATCTGATCTGCAAATTGCAGAATGTGAAGGAGTTTGAGTACTTACCTGAGTTGGATCGGACGGTGGCACGAACCGAGTAACCAAGTTGAAGCAGCTTCATGATCAGCCATGACGCTACATGTCCAGTTCCTCCTGTTACACACACAGCGCCCTTCTCCCCTTCCATCTCTCTTTCTCTCTGGGTCTCTCTGTATCATTTCATTGAACAACCAAAAACCTGCAAGTTGCAACTAATATGCTACTGACTCACTGACTCACTGCTGTGGGTGTGGGGTAAGAAGAATAACGGAATTGGAAGATATGCTTGCCAGCTGTCTGTATGGGACTTGATGCAGATGCAAAAAAGCTAATGCTCTCTCCATTCTCTAATATTGTGGAGGATAGGGTTAGATGTAGATAGGTCCCGCTCCCGCCGGAAACGTGATCGCTTTCCAGTTTCCACTTTAAAATATGTCAGAGCCGTTGCCATTGCCAATGACAAACTTTTCTTGATGCTATCTCCAACATTGTACCATGTTTAGTGAGTGGGTCCACCTTCCGTCGTGGGCTCCACATTCAAAGTTCTGGATAGTTTCCTTCGGGATACGGTATCAGTCTATCAGATAGGATTCATAGCGTGGCCTACTGGCCTTTGTCTCAAATTAGAAGTTGTAACGGGTGTGACCGTATCCTTGTCTTTTCTCTCGAATTATGTCAAGTCATTGTTTGGCTTTTTTTGGTTGGGATGGGAGACAGGTGGAAGATAGCGTGGCCTTTTATTTGCACGACACTTGGCAACTTAAAGACATGCATCGTGATTTCCGCGCAAGACAAAAAATTGAGAAAACCAGCAGCATTGCATCAGGAGCAGGGGCTGAGTTAGAAGTGGAGCTGTGGAGTGGAGTTACCGTAGCCCGTAGGTGTATCTTATAATGAATCAATAATTTGCAAGGCTACTTTTGTCTTTTTCCAACAAATTCTGGTCCTGAATAGTGAGTAGTCTTCAATCGTCATTCCTGATCCCGTGGATATGCAACCAGTGGCGATTTTTGCGGTCCCTCCGCCCTTTTTTGCTTAACAGCCCGGACCTCCTACAAACAAAAATTTTGTACACACATGCATCTAATTTCAGTTTTTGTTTGCACGAGATCCCATGAGAATATTTCTATAACCTGCCTTGAAACTTGATAAAGTCATTCTAACTTATTTGCATATTTTATATTGACATTTGATATCACATTGGCACCGTTAAGGTAACATAGGCAAAAAAGTGCTTTAAAATACATCAAAATAACATTTTCTCTAAAAATGGTTCTTAATGAATCCAAGGTACTTGATGTTGTTTGAAAATTGAAACCACTTGAAAATGTTCAATCAAAATATCAAACAAGGAAAAAAATGAAGGAAAAACGCCTTAAAGAGGGACGATTCCAATATCGAACACTTTTGAAGCAGTGATTTTGAACTGTTGTTGATTTCGACGATTGGATCGTTTGTTTAGAAATTGTTCAAGTAATTGGTTTTGTTTCCCTAAATTCGATTTTTAGTAAAAAATCGTTGAATTGATTAACAAACCTTTGATCTAGGTGATTGAATTGTTGATTTATTTAACTCTTTCAATAGTTTTTAAGCTTTTAAGTTAGAATAGGCCGTCAATTTGATTGAATCACCGATTTAAAAACCAATGGTCAGAACTGTTTCAATTCTTTAGTTGAGGGTCAGGACTAATTTGGATTTCGTCCTCCCAAAATTTGTCCTTCCACCATCCTCATCATAAGTCATAACTCTTGCAATGTGCATTAAGAATATCCCCGTATTTATATTTTTTATTAATAAAAAATGTTCATAATAGTTACAAGGATTGTGAGAACAGTGATATTTTTTAAGGAGGAAACCCAAATTCGGCCAGAACCAGGAAATAACCGACATGCGACAAGCAGACCTCCTAGCTGGAGGTCGAATCAGCTGCCAATTTCAAGTTCTAGTTGCGACATGCAACAAGGGGATATAAGACAAACCCATTAGAGTTCGGTTAAGGGATTTGTGACATTTGTCTACCGCTGAATCAGCGTGATCTGATGACTTCATCAACTAGCTTTATCTGGGCGCCAACAATTTATTGTTTTCGATGGAGACATGGAGTGTTGTAAGTTGTAACGTCTGATAGAGGATGAAGGTAATAAAGCCAAACAGACAACCTTAGAGTTGAAATCATAACGGATCATGGGTGTAGAAGAGAAGTTAAAATAATAGTGACTCAATTTAATAGGACGAAGAGAAACGGGTCCAAATCCAATGTGGTCCCACCAATTCTACCGAAAAAAATGTGATGCCACCAACACAGGCTGAGGGTGACGCGGAAGTAATTTTTGTAGGGTAAAATACAAAAACTTCTCCTGAAGCTTCTGATAATCATAAAATCTTTCTCTGTACTTTTATTTTAATAAATACTGTTTCTGAATTTTTGAGAAACTCAACAAAAACCTTCCTTTTGTTATTGTCCCAAATGGAAAACTTTAGATTGATGCACTAATTTTTTCCAAATGCCCATTTTACCCTTTTATAAATCATTTTACATACAAAATTACTGAAATAACCCAATTTTAATTCAACAAAAACTTATTTTAATGATCATTTCAGAAATTTTACATACAAAATTACTGAAATATACAAGTTTTTTTATTGAGTTAAAATGGGATTGTTTCAGTAATTTTGTATGTAAAATAATTTATAAAAGGGTATACAGAAATTTCATGTTCAGTTTGGTCGATTGAATTGTTATACAGTTTCTTTTACAAAGACAAAAATGCAAAATAAAAAAGAATTGTTAGGGCAGAGTCCATACAAAAATTCCATTTACCCTGAATTTTGAACTTTGGGGTAGTGTCAAATTAGTATCCGAACTTTCAAATATATCAGTGCAGTATTCAAACTTTCAAAAAGTATCAAGTTAGTCACCGCTGTTAATTGACCGTCACATGTACAACTTATAATTTTTAAAAATATCAAAACCAACCTTCAAAAGGAGTGGAGAAGAGGGCCTGGCTTGGAAGTTCTTTAAATTCATTCATCAGATTTTAATTGTCGTCGTTGTCTTTGTGGACTTAAGACTCAATTTGGAAGGAGTGCAAATACAAATATATACAGAGCAAATGCATACAAAATAATATAAAATACAAGGTTCTGTACAGTACAAATTTGTATTTGTGCTCCTTCCAAACATAGCTTAAAGAAATCTCGTCAGATATGACAACTAAGAAGATCTGTAGATCATTGAGTGAGTAATATAAATATAAGCTTGCATTAATTAGTTTGTTTTTGTATTAATTAATTAATTTGTTTTTGTTTTTGTTTTTGTTTCATCGATTCTAAATGTTTTTAAACAAATTTGAACTTTTTCCTAAAACAAAGTTCGAGTTTTGTTTGAGATTCATAATTGCAATCTAGGCATTCACATTACTTCTCTACAATCTTTATGAAGTTCATTAGCCCTTTCCAAATGATTTACTTCTATTAATCACTAGTGGCTGAACTTGTCATGAATAATGGTCCAGTTTTTTTGCCCCCTTTTTTAGTTCGATAGTTTATTAGTGTCTGAATTTTATTACATAAACGAAGAAGTTCATCTGGTTTTTCAGGATCAAGTTCTATCCAACAAGCAACTGAAGCTGGATGACCTCTGTGAGCAGATTAATTCTATGAAAGAGAAAGAGCACCCTGAAATTGGGTCTAACATGTTGGTCAGACCGGGTGTTCTGCTTGTGGTTGTCAAGTTTGCAATCAGCATTGTGTTTCAGAAAATGGTTCAATGGTAAATATCTATCTTACTGAGTGAAATTTGCTCCCATTAATAAGATAGGGTTTGCAATCAGCATCGTGTTTCAGAAAATGCAAATGCTGATGATTTGGAATATTTATTTTTTCTATCTTCAGTGAATGAGATTCTCTTGATGGTTGTCGATAAAAAATTATTTATTTATTTTTATATTTCTATCATTGATGTGAATACTGGTTAGAGATCAAATATCGGAGGTGGTTATTAGTCAGAGATTAAGAAAACTAGATGATAGGTGAAGGACATTTTTATCCTTTTATATGATATTTAACATCTGTTAACGGTTTTGGACCAATTTGACATTTTTTGAAAGTTTTGATACTGACAGATTTAAAAATTAAGATATTAACTTGAGACTATCCTCAAAATTCGGGATACTAAAGTGAAAATTTTCCTAAGAAAAACGCTTCTGTGCCTGTTTGCATCCAATCTGTGAAATCCCACATGAATGCAAATTGCAGTTACTTGTCAATTTTGTCAGGAATTAAAGAAAACCCTTATCCTTGCAGCACCGAATGGCTCCATCAAACATTTCTTCTGAACTTGAAACCCAAATCCACGAGTTTCTTGCAGAAAGATGAATGGGATTTTCTTCTTCCATGGTACCCACAAAACTATAACTAAAATAATTAACTCATGAAATTCACAAAAGAAAAAAAAGAACTAAGACAACTCACTCCATTGGTATTCGAAATTCTCGGTACTTCTTGACAGGGAAAAACTTAGCTAGTTCATGAATGGTGAATCCAGTGGATGAACAAATGTATCGCCCTTTTGCTTCCGGACTCTCGAAAAGGAATATCTGTGTACATGCTACATCGTCTATATGCACGAGGTTTGTCTCTTTCATTATTTTGCAATATTCTAGATTGGATGAGGAGGAAAATTTTCAAATCATAAGTGAGAAAGAATAGATTTAGGCCATGTTTGGGGGTGTTTAAAAATAAGTGTTTATTTGGGTTTGGATCACACCATTGAGCACTTATTGGTGTTTGGGAAATAAGGCCAAAAGAAGGGCTTTTAGACCGTGTTTGATTTCATTTCTAAAAAGCACTTCGTTTAAGAGTTGGGATCACACATTAAATGGTTATTAAGTGTTTATAGGTGTTTGGTAAAAAAGTGAGGAAGAAGTACCTTTTTTTTAAAAGAAACACTTCTTAAAAAAGTGACCTCAAGGTTGTTTTTTTGTCAGCACTTCTTCCAATCGAATGGGACGAACCAATCCCTATTGATTTTTTTAATACCCAAAATACCCCACACGAGGGTTTTCTTTCCTCTCCTCCAATTCAAACACAACAAACCAAGGAGCAACACTTCCAATTGCAGGTCCATCGGCAACGATCAACGGTGAGGAAAAAATGGCCG